GAGACAGGGTTTCTCTGTATAGCTTTGTGTCTTTCCTGGATCTCGCTCTGTAGACCAGGCTGGCCTTGAACTCACAGAGATCCACCTGCCTCTGCTCCCGAGTGCTGGGGTTAAAGGCGTGCGCCACCACCTCCCTGCTTAGATTGGCTTTTTAAAACATTTTTTTTTTTTAAGGCTGGACATGATGGTGTACCACTCTAATCCCAGCACTCAGGAGGCAGAGGCAGGAGGATCTCTGTGAGTTCGAGGCCAGCCTGGTCTACAGAGTGAGATCCAGGAAAGGCGCAAAACTATACAGAGAAACCCTGTCTCGAAAAACAAAAAACAAAAAAGAAAAAAAAAGAAAACCAAACAAACAAAAAACAGAGGGCAGCAAGACGCCTCAACAGGTGTAAGTACCTGCAGAGCTAGCCCAACCACTGAATTCAATACCCCAGAGCCTGTAAGGTCGGACAAAAATGACTCCTCAAAGTTGTGCTCTGACCACACACACACACACACACACCACACCATAGAGGAGAGGGGGGGAAGATGTGAGAGCACACTGCATGCTGTACATACACCCATACTAACAGAAATGAATGAATGAATAATTAATTAATTAATTAGTTAAAAGAGAGCTGGAGGTACAACTCAATCAGTAGGGTATTTCCTGGCACAAAGCACAAAGCTCTGATCACCAGCACTATGTTTAAAAAAAAAAAAAAAGAGCAGCAGGATGGTGGTGGCGCACCCCTTTAATCCCAGCACTCAGGAGGCAGAGGCAGGAGGATCTCTGTGAGTTCCAGGCCAGCCTGGGCTACAGAGTGAGTTCCAGGACAGCCAGGACTATTACATAGAGAAATCCTGCCTCAAAAAAACAAACAGAACAAAACAAAAGCGAGAGGCTGGAGAGATGGAAAGATGGCTCTCGATGGCTAGGAACACCTGCTGCTCTGCAGAGGACCAGGCCATAGTTCTCAGGCCCAATGTCAGGGGGCTCACAACCCCCTGTAACTCCAGCTCCGGGTGCTCTGGGGCTCTCTTCTGGGGTGCACACCTGGACATACACATAAGTAAACACTAAGTCTATAAAAAATGGGGAGCTAAAGCTGGGTCACCAGTTAACAGCACTCTTAACTAGATTCTGTTTTCCAGAGGACCTGTGTTGGATCCCCAGCACACACATGGTGGCTCAAAACTGACTATAATTCCCGTTTTAGGGAGATCTGATGTCCTCTTCTGGCCTCTGCAGGCACTGTGTGCATGTGGTCCACAGACATACATGCAGGCAAAACACCCATACACACAAAAAAATCTTAAAAAAAAAAAGTGGGGGAGGGGGGCATGGCGGCATACAGCTGTCATTCCAGCACTGAGGAGGTCCAGGCAGGAGGAGCAGAGGTTCAAAGTTATCCTTAGATACATAGGAGTTAGCCTAGGCTACACGAGGCCCTGTCTAAAAACAAAAACAAAACAAACAAACAAAAAAACCCCACAAAAGGCCAGGAGCCGCGGCGCACACTTTTAATCCCACCCAGTACTTGGGAAGCAGAGGCAGGCGGATCTCTGTGAGTTCCAGGCCAGCCTGGTCTACAGAATGAGCTCCAGGACAGCCAGGAATGTACAAAGAAATGCTGTCTTGAAAAGCCAAAAAAAAAAAAAAAAAAAAAGGCGGGGTAAGGAGGTAGGGGGCTGGTTCCTCGGCTCAGCAGTCAGGAGTAGTGGATGCTCATCCAGAGGTCCCGGGTTCGATTCCCAGCAACCACATGATGGCTCACAATTGTCTGTAACTCCAGTTCAGGGAATCCAATGCCCCCTTTCAGCCTCTGAAGGCACCAGCACCAGGCACACAGTGGTGCACAGACAGACAGGCAAAAACATAATAAAACAACACAGATGTCAGAAGGAGAGCAAAACAACAAACCAAAATGAATAAACAAACAAACAAAGGCAAGGAAATATTTCTTCTAGGTCTGGGTGACACAGAAGGCCAGCAGGAGGGCCTCTTACCTCCTTGAACTGCGGGTGGGCGGCATCCTTCACCAGCTGGAGAATCAGTACTTCGCTGGTGGACAGGAAGACACCGCTCTGTCGCATCCGATCCAGCGCCACCAGCCGGTTCATCTCACTGTGGAGGACAGGGCAGGAGGAGGGACATTCACGGATTTACGCTGTGCTACATCTCCATCGTAGGGCAGTTTCCTCTCAACTGAAACACCCCCTCCAGGTGGGAGGGGGAGGCTCACGAACTCAGGAGCTAAACAAGAGGCCACATGTGGGCCTGGAGAGATGGCTCAGCGGTTAAGAACACTGGCTGCTCTTGCACTGGACCTGGGTTCAATTCCCAGCACCCACAAAGGCAGCTCACAACTGCCTGTAACTCCAGTTCCAGGAGATCTGACACCCTCATGCTAATTAATGCACATAAAATTAAATTATTTAAAAAAAAAAAA